GCCTGTCCAGGCAGAATAACCACACAGATTGGGGTGGGGAAGTGGGGAGATGGAAGCAGCCCTAGAATAAAACACCATAGACTCCCACTGTCCATAACCAAGGGTTAGTAGTTTTTCTTGAATAAATGCTTCGTAGTTTGTGTAGACCTTTCGTTGATTTCCAGAGCCCCAAAATGGTGGATTTTTTACTATTTTGTCCAGTTTTGTTGTGGCTTTTTGGGAAGAGGATCTGCCAACCTCCTCACTTCACCACTCTAGAAGTCCTGACATCCCCACCCCCAGGCACACTCTTAAGCTTATTTTAGGCTAATAGTACTACCAAGTATTTATTTTAAATTGGCTTCATTTTAATTGAAAACCTAATCTTTCTCCAAGAACCATTAATGGCTTTATCAGCATCTTGAAAGCATTAGGGGGCCTTAGAGGGAACCATCTTGCTCAATATAAACCACATGTTTCCGCCTTAGACTTCAGGCCTCACTGAAATGGGAGCATCTACCTGTAGATGCCTACATGCTGCCTCAAGGTGCACAGGGGTAGGTAGGACAGGGCTCTTCTGGCCCTCTTCTGTGATGGATGAAGTGTTAAGAAAACAGGTTCCCAAGCTGAAAGTTGCCTCATGTGATTTCTGATACCCAACAATACAGTTGAAACCACATTATTATCCAACCTCCTAACTTCCTCCACCCAGCACATGTTACAAAAACCTCCACAGGACCCTGAAAACCTCAGAATTCCACATGACAAACTATTCACATGCCTGAAAAGCCATCAGTAAAAGCCCTTGAGGGCCAAGGTGACATGTGGGTAATTGGCAAGAACCTCTTTAAAAGGGATTCCATTCAATAATGTGTCTCAAAAAAAACTCTGCTAAACCTAAAGCTGAGCATCAAGTAATTACACTCTCAATCTTTCCAATTGCACAGTGTTTTGAAAATGTCAAAATTACAACCAAATGCTGCTGGAGCATATTTTACTGGTGGTTTTCTGGACCCTAGTAAAGGTGCTGGCCATGAGAGTAGAAAGGGAAAAGTCTGCATATTTTTCCTGTGGAACCATGGTAAGCAGAGCATATAGACATAATATAGATGGCACCCATTGAAATACACATATTTAATGACCTCAGTCTTTGGTTTCTTTTTTTTCCTTTGGAAGGAGAATCAATGTATGGCCATAAAACCATATAGATTGCTATGGGAAAGACTTACTAAAGTAGTAAATTTCCACAAGAGACAAAAAAGTCATCAAAAGAGTGATACACCCAGAGATAAGGCAAGGGTGTGGCCCCTCACACATCCAGGAGGTTGTGCAGGACTGACCCAAGGCCAGAGTAAACGTCCTGGGTCTTCCCCAGCTTCACTCCTGTGCTTGGCCAGGCCCCACAGACAAATAGGCTGGTTGGGAATTTGTGTAAATCTAGTGCCAAACTGTGTCACCTGGAACCCTTGTAAACAATGGCCCAGAACTATTCATTCATTTACTCCCCCACTAAACACATCTTTGTTGTGCCATCCCCTGTGCTAAGTGCTGGGAATATATGTTTGGCACTCAAGGCCCAGTTTTGGAAGCCATTATATCATAGGAAAGTAATAGAACAAATAAACCATTTAAATTAAAAGACTATGAAAGTATTATTCCAAAAAACTATTAAGACACATAGATTTGACCAATAGGTCCCAGTTTGCAACCTAACTATGAACATGTTTTCCTTTGGCTACATAATGATTTGTTTGTTTTTAAAATCTGAATTTCAGAAGAGAACTATGAAATTCAACCTCAAGGACATATGTAGTTGTACAATGTACATATGTAGGTGACTCCAAGAACAAAACCAAGGAGTCTAAGCATGCCTGGTTCTGAACAGCCCTGTTGATATTTGACTAGTATTTGTTCATTAATTCTGTGTAAGTAGATAAAGCAGTTAACAGATGCCAAAAGTTTAAGAAAAATGAAGGAGAAGAAAACAGGGTTTTTCTCAGTTTTAACTTTCTCAGTAGGGAAAAGCCAGACATGATTCAGTTTTAGCGGTGGAATACTGTTGCCTGGTTTGCAGAGGGCAGTAAGATGTAACTGTTTGAAGAACGGGAAGAAAATGGGAGAGCTAGAGGTGGGAGAGATTAAAGCGTAAGTATTGGGTTGGGTTTTTGCTATGTGTTTATGTTGAGGGGTGAGTATTTTGTGGGGAGGTGTAAGGAGGCCTCCTCTTTCAATAACACCACTGGGCTGCTCCATCCTTGCCAACCCCAAGGTAAGCAAGGAGCCTCTCTCACTCTCAGACCTCTCCTTGCACCTAGGGCAAGGTGGGGAGGGGGAACTAAGCTGAGGAACCAGCGCTCTGAAGAGCCTCTAACTAAGGCAGGATTCTCAAATCCAGGGCCCCACAGGGAGGGTGTGCAGCAAAGGCGAGTTTGTAGCTAAATGTGCCCTACCAGAGTCCCTGCTCCCTCCCCTTGCAGAAGTAATGGCTCTCTCCAGCTTTGTTCCTCCTTCTTGCCTGCTTAGTGCCCATTTTTTGTCTTCCTGTAAACACTGGATGAAAAAGGAGAGAAATGAGCCCTGCAGATGCTCAAGTACGGCCCGGCCATGGGCCTGGTTGTACTGACTCCTCTGTGAAGCATCTCCTGTGGTGCCTGCCTTGTCAAGGGTAACTGGCAAAGAAAAAGACAGATCCTTGCCCTCTTAGAGCTTACAGTCTGGCCAAGGAGACAAATGTTAAACAAAATTACACAGTGAATTATAAAACCAGGGAGGACAAGGCACACTTAGAGCCTCTATCAGGGTGTGTGTAGTCTGGCACGGGGGAGGCTCTGGGAAGGCCTCTAAGGGTGTGATGTCTGCTGCTCACTGGAGGGAGAGCTAGACAAGGGAAGGGAGGAGGGCTCCATAAAGAGGGAACAGCATGTGTAAAATGCCCTAAGATAGAAAAGAAACAGAGGAAAGGAACTGAAAGACGGTCCTGTGGCCGGAGCATAGGGGCTCAGGGAGGAGGAGCCAGAATCTGCAAGGTGTCAAAGGAGTTGGTAAAGGTTTGGGATTTTATCCTAAGAACCATAATAATTACCTGTGGAGTTTTAAGCAGAGTAGAGGTCAGATCCAATTCTTTTTCTTTTTTTTTTTTGCTAAAAAGATTCATCCTGTGCTGACATCTCTGCCAATCTTCCCCTATTTTTTATGGGGCTCACCGCCATAGCATGGCCGCTGACAAGTGGTGTAGGTCTGTACCCAGGAACCAAACCCAGGCCACCAAAGCAGAATACACCAGACTCAACCACTAGGCAACACGGTCGGGCCCCAACTGTCATTTTTAAAAGACCTCCCTGGTGCCTTTCTGTGGAAAATGGATAAGAATTGACAAGATTAGAGACATGCTCAGGTGTGTGCCCAGGTGTGGACATGAAGAAGGCAAGATTAGGGCTTTGCTAGGAGGAAGAAACAAAAGGACAGAAGAGAAAGGGGGTAAAAGATGCACCGGAATGATATTACATGGAATAGGCTACATGGGGTCAGGCAGAGGAGGGGCTGATGTTGAGAAGGAAGGTAAGGCATCAGTGGACTGGAGGTCCCAATGAGGCCAAGGACTGTCATGGTGGGAGTAAAGAACAGAACAAGCCGGAAGGACCAGATGTTGGTATGCATGAAAGTGAAGCCATTTTGGGGTAGGATGAAGTCCAGAATGTGGCTTGGCAGAAGGTGGCTGTGAAAGAGTGGAAAAGGACAGACAACACAAAAGATAAGAAGATACAAGGACAGAATCCAGATTGCGAGAGAGGCCGACATCAGTCTGGCCCTGAGTCCCAGTTCCTGGCAGAAGCAGAGAAGCCCAGCCACATGTAGAGTCTTCTAGAATGACAGATTCACAGCTCCTAGGAAGGCTTCAGGAAGATTCCTACGTCTCCTCAAGACTCCCTACCTCCCCTGGCCTAAGCATTTGGTTTGGTTAAATAAAAGCAACTATCATCACGCCATTCAGACGTCCACGAGCATGTTACATGAACCATTTAGCATGTGTTCCTAGAGCAACCATGTGTAACCATAAGCAGAAAAGTTACTGATTACAAACGTGGCCTCCATTCTCATGGTCTCAGCCTTGTAGTTTGTGCTCCACAGAGCGAGTGACTGCTACTTGGCTTGCACCACACATACAACTCCATACCCTCTCTCTCTTGCGAGACTATAAAGTCAAGGGCAGGTCATTATGCTTCCTTCCCAGTTTCTAATACCATGCCTGGAATGTAGTAGACGCTTAATAAAGAATGAATCAATCCCATTTATATGAACTTCAAAACTGGTAAAAACTAATTTATGTGTTAAATGTCAGCATAACTGTTCTATCCTGGGTGGGAATGGAGACCGGAGATGGGAGTATCAATGTTATATTTCCTGATCTTGGTGCTGTTTACATGTTTGTGCACTCAAAATTCATGGGTCTGTATAATTATGATCTGTACATCTTTGAGCATGTATGTTTCCATAATTTTTTAAATGGATGAATGAATCTATCAATCAGTGGTGGAACCTAACATAGCTTAAACCTGCAATCCTTCTCCAGTGTACGATGACAACAGCAAGCTAAGGCAGTTGTCAGCAAATAGTCTCTACAAGAGGCCAGACATTAAATGTCTTAGCTCTTGCAGGCCATACGGTCTCTGTCACAACTTTGCTGCTGTAGCATAAAAGTAGCCACAGATAATGTGTAAAACAAACGCGTGTGGCTATGTTCCAACAAAATGTACTTATGAACACTGAACTTTGAATTTCGTACAATTTTCATATGTTCTAAAACAGTCTTCTTTTTGATCTTTTTTTTTAATCATTCAAAAATCTAAAAACCATTCTTAGCTATCCAACTGTACAAAAACAGGCTGCAGGCCAAACTCGGTCTAGAGGACATGGTTTGCACACCCTCCGCACTAGGGGGTGTGCATAGAAAACGCATCTCTTGGCCAGCACATAGGTTCAGCCTATCCTTCCCCCAACCTGCCCCTCCAGCACTCTCCCACCTTTATAAGTAGGCAGACACTCCATCTTGTCGCCACATGGATATTTACTGTCCCGAGGTTTGATGGGGTCCACTCGACAGACAGGGTATGGGTTGTAATCTTGTTTATACGTTGTGAGCAGATCCATATTCTCCTCACTTGGGACGAACTGGTCAGGATGGGGGACCTTCACTGGTAACACTTTGTGAGGCCCGAAATCTCTCCTGTAAAGGAAATAAGCATACGGCATTGAAGCCCTGGCTCAGAACAAGCCTCATGGTTTCCATTCAACCCAATTCTACAAATGTTTGCTCAGAAGTCATCTTCTAACTCTATCCTAACTGCTCTTCCTCCTCTGTTTCTCACTTTCGAGAAACATACCACCATTCCCTTCTCACCCAAGTCAGACACCTCGATCCACTTCTCACAGCTCCAGAGGATCATTCACCAAGGGCAGGCCTCTCCACGTCACTGGTTTGTCTTTCCCTCTTGGTTCAGACCCTGACCATTTCTTACTTGGATCGTGTGACAACTTACCACCTGGGCTTCTTGCTTCGTTCCCACCACTTCTACTTCAACGCCCATAGTGTGGTCAGAATAAACTCTCTAAAATGAAAATTACATCATTTCACTCCCCAGCTTAAATTCTTCCAGATAAAGCCCAACTTTCTAGCATGGTCCTCAAGCTTTCCTGAACCTGCCTCTGCCTTATTCCCCAACCACATCTCCCACCTCTCTCCCTGGCCCACTTTCCACTCTAACCACACTGGACCACTGAGGAGGCCCCTCACCTGTGCCTGCCATCTCCATCTTCCTTCACCCCAACCCCGTCACTGTGGAGCTTTTATTTTTTAGGTACCACCACCTCCTTCTCTGTGTCCCCAATAGCTTCTGCTAATATTTATCTCCTTCCTCTACTTGATCTTACAGAAAACCCAGAAGAGAAGAAAAGTGCAATAAATGGAGATCATGAATCTTTCATTTCTTAGCTATCTGGCATCACCACGCCTACTATTTCAGGGCGTATGAAAACGATGGGATGGAAAAAGAATGATGGTCTTTACTAAAGAAGAAGCACTCCCTTCCCAAAGCATCTCCCAGTTATAAAAAGGCCAAGATGCTAACTACACCACCACCAGGAATCACGCTGGCCACACCAGGGCTCAGCTTGGGTGTGCACTGCTCACCAGGGCAGTGTCAGCTTCCCATGGCTCAAGGCAAACTCTCTTAAGCAAACATTCCCCCCCACGCCCACCCCAGGGCTTCTGCTTTATACAGCAGAGTGTTTTTTGCCTGGAACCCATTTATCCAACTGGACAGGGGAAGGTAGATTTTCCCCGACGGTGCTTGCCAAAACAGCCTCAGCAAGGGGAGGGGAAGGTTTCCGGACAGGAAAACATCAGGCCTAAACACCAATAAAACCTACTTTCCGGTCGAGATCTGGAGCAGCATTACTGAGCCATGCTTGACTAGCAAAGGTAACACGCTCCACTGTAACCTGTCTTGCATGAATTATACACATGGTTGTCAATAAACTCAAACCAGGGCCTGAAAATGCTTGGCGGGATGGGAGAGGGAGTTAGGAAGCACAAGAATTAGTCTCTCCAGGGCTCTAAGGGGGAAATGGGAGAAGCTTCAGTTGAACTCCCAGTAACACCCTCTGGGTAGATTTAAAAATACATCTCAGCAGTGGTTACAGGGCCTTCAGCCTGGCTCCCTTCCCAGGGGCCCACGTTGACAAACAGCAAGAGGAAGCTCAGTAACCCACGGCATCTGGAAGCTGACTATATGAATCGGCGCTTATGGAGGGAATAGGCCAAACAACAACCCAGGGGTCATCTCCACACTTCTACTCCACCTAGTGTGTAGGTACCTCATGCCAGAGTCTGTCCAATACTGAACCAAGTGTGGCAGGGAGCAGGGCGCGTGAGGCCCTCAGCCAGCCACAGAGACAAATGGAAATACTCAGAAAACCCTGTCTGAAAACTGGTTGACTGCAAAGTGGCTTTTACCAGAAAGTTTGTGTTCTCAGGGGAGGGCTCCCAAGGGGAAGTGAGCTCTCCTAACTCCCAAAAATGGTGGAGTGCGGTTTAGAGGCAGCCTGAGACCACACAGCTCCATATAAACATGTTCATTGATGGCTACCCAAAATTCAGCCCGCTGCACTTTCAACCGAGAATCAGGAGATATCAAGGGCAAGCAGTGAGGAATAAAGCTGAAGCCAAGCTGCCCCATGGACCCTCCCAATACCAGACAGCCAAGAGTGCTTTCAAGTCACGGGCCTGCCATACTCTGGGACCCTACACATAGGCCATGACATCCTCTTCTGCCATTAACTTCTACTGTTCCCCTCACACATGTATGAGAACCTTCCTATGAGGGCTGCCAAGCTCTCTGGCAACTAAAGTGTGCCCAGTGCCCCTACCTCCTTCTGCTCCTACAGGAAAAGAGCAGATAAATGCCCACAACCAGACTCATCCATTCACGGACTATCCTGAAGTCGGTTTCTCAAAGACAAAAGCAGATGTAGCAAAATCTTTGCTCATCATGTGTAGGGAACAAAATCGTTAACTGAATCTCCTTCTCCAGTACAAAATTCAAGCTCCTCTGTGAAGGCACATCTACGGCTGAATTTACTGATCAGCTACAACCAAGGAAACGATCCTGAAGGGGGGCCGGGGGTAGGGCGTACGGAATGATCCACTTCTGAAGAGAGGAAACGTTTTCAGTTTAAAGTTTAATTCATTTATACCCCACCCAAAAATATTTACTGTGGCTTAAGAGTGAGTTTAATCAGAATTTACGAGTCTCCTCATTATGTTTTTACGTTGAGAACATTCACTGAAACCTATCGTTAACCACAGCATAACTGCCTGTCCCCAATCTCACATAATCTTACAGCCGTAAGTTCGCGTAAAAGAAAAGTATTTTATTCTTCCCAGAAATTGCTCAAATTTAGTAGCCTTTTTTTTTAAAGAACACTCTCCTCTCTTCCTGTAGTACATTTCCTAGTCCCTGTGCCCATTGTGACTATGAACCAAGAAAAAAACGGATCAAAGAAGTTTCTTTTTTAGATGCATAACCATAAAAGTTAGATTGTGTGGAAGGCCAAGAGTTAAGCTCCGAGTTAAGTAAAGGTTCAAGTGACCCTGCTGGGAAAGTCATAATAACTTGACTTCCAATCATTAGGCAAAGCCAAGGAGAGGTGTTTGACAAGAGTCTGACAAAAGGAAAGAAGAAATAACATAACAGCCAACAGGGTCGTGAGCCTGGAAGTGGGAAAAGGAGATTTTCACTGCAATAGAGGAGCCATACGATCATTTTTGTTAACCTATTTTTAATGTTTATATAAGCAAACTTCAGAATTTGTTAGTGTGACCATATAGTCAACCATAATACGTGGAATCCTTTTTAAGAAGAGTTCCTCCTCTTGCCCAAAGCCAATCTCTTCACCTCTGCCAGAAATCCCCTCCCTCTTTCCAGGAACCTCGTCTATGGGCCATCTCCTAGTCTGTGGTTTAAACTCTTCCTCCTGCTGGCTCCTTTTTGTCAGTATTTAATCATGCACCAGTCCTTCCCATCTTTAAAGGAAAGAGACAAACCATCAAACAACTCTCGTTGGCGTCCTCTCCCCTCCACTCCTCTCTCCTCCCCTTCTCTCTTCTGGGAAGGGTTGTATAGAGGTGCAGACTTGCCTTCCTCACTCCCCACTCAGGCTCCACCCATCAAATCGGATTCCACTCACTCATTGCTCTAGCCAAGGCTGGCAAAGTACCACCTTGTTTACAAATCCAATCATTGCTCCTCAGGCCTTTATCCCCCTGTACCATCTTCACAGCATCCATCCTCTCACTCATTTTTTTAAGACGCTCTCCTCTTGACTTCTGACACTCCTCATGATTTGTCCTCTTAGTCTCCTCTGTGGGGTTTTGCTCTTTGTCAATTGATTTTATTTCCTTACTTCCTCACATAATTCTAAAATCTCCCCAGGTTAAAAGGCACCCTCTAGGGGCTGGCCCTGTGGCCGAGTGGTTAAGTTCGCACTCCGCTGCAGGCGGTCCAGTGTTTCACTGGTTCGAATCCTGGGCGCGGACATGGCACTGCTCATCAGACCATGCTGAGGCAGCATCTCACATGCCACAACTGGAAGGACCCACAACGAAGAATATAAAACTATGTACCGGCGGGCTTTGGGGAGAAAAAGGAAAAAATAAAATCTTTTAAAAAAAAATAAAAAATAAATAAATAAAAGGCACCCTCTAAGGAAACCATTGTGTCATCACAGGCAGGTTGGGAAGCCCAGCCCAGCACACTGAGAAAGATCCCTAGGCAGATTCACAGGACTTGATTCGTGCCCCTGATCCTCATAAGAACACACTGAGCCCTCTTTATCTTCACTGTGACAGACCAGGATTCAAGTTACAAGCACCTATCTCCTCCTTTACTCTCTCATCTCCTCAACTCCCACCAAAGCTGAGGCTAACAGCTGTCACTACTTCATATAAACTCTGGACAAAATATAAAGAACTGCCAGTGAGTGCTTAAGAGCAACCAATGTAGACAGATTCTGGAGCAGAGCCAACAGGTGGAAGAAGGGAACGATACTGGGTGACTCTGTAAGTTTCCATTTTTTTCTAAGCTCCCAGTCTGAAGGCAGGCTCCAGTCTGTGCCACACAGACAGCTTAAATGTGAATAGAAAACTTTCCACCTTTGACTGAAGAACCACAGCACCAAGTCTAGGGCAGCCATAGGTGTCAGAAAGTGAGGAAGGAATCCTGGATAGGAAAGAACCAGAGACAGGAAGCCTCAGTTCTGTATATAAACTGGGCACAAATCTCTGGCTGACCTCACCTGCATGGGGCAGACTTCAAGCAACTATGCTAAAGATAAAGAACTGGATTGAAATTTGAGGTGACCCCCAAGACAGAGTTTGCATTTGAATCCAATGAAGTTACCTCCTATCTGCTTGGGGGGAAAAAACACTCTTTAGAAGAATGCAAGAATGTCCAGGGTCTCTCCAGCACAACATCAACAATGTACAGGATCAATCCAAAACTACTTGATATACACACAGGAAAATGTGACCCATTCTCAAGAAAAAAAGATAATCATGAAGACCACCCCAAGCAGACCTAGATGTTGAAATTAGCAAAGATTTTAAAGCAGCTATTTTAACTATGTTCAATTACCAAAGGCAAAGTAAGGTTATAATTAATTAAAAGATAAGAAGTTACAGAAGAGAAATAGAAATTATATTTTTTTTAAAAATGGAGGATGGCCCCATGGTCAAGTGGTTAATTTCATCCACTCCACTTCGGCGGCCCAGGGTTTCACCAGTTCGGATCCTGGGCGCAGACACAGCACTGCTCATCAGGCCATGCTGAGGCAGCATCCCACATAGCACAACCAGAAGGACCTGCAACTAGAATATATAACTATGTACTAGGGGGCTTTGGGGAGAAGGAGAAGAAAGGGAAAAAAAAAAGGAGAACATTGGCAACAGATTTTAGCTCAGGTGCAAATCTTTTAAAAAAATAAAAAATAATAAATAAAATTAAAAATGTAAATTCTAAAACTGAAAAATACAATACCTAAAATAAAACATTCACTGGATGAGTTTACCAACAGAATGGAGATGAAGAAGGAAAGACTCAGTGAACTTGAAGATAGATGAATAGAAACTGTCCAATCTGAAGAACAGAGAGAAAAAACACTGGAGGAGAGAAATCAACAGAGCCTCAGAGACAGAAAAAAATACTTGAACAAATAGTGACCAAAATATCCCCAAATTTAGCCAAAGATGCACAACATCACAGGCTCTGAAATTGCCCAAGCAAGTCTAGAGCTGAGACCTATTTCTGCATGTCTTAATTCTCAGGTCCCGTCTATACAGGGGCGTAAGCATATCCCCAGGGGTATGGATGAGCAGAGAAGTCAAGTATGTATGTGAACAGAAAATATGTAAAATTCAATGGGTAGGGAAAGATTCAAGCCCACTACCAACTTTCTTGCTTCTTTCCTGGCTTTAGGAGAGCATTCCAAACACCTTTTCTCTTTTAGCTCTTCCCTCCCTTACTCTCTTCGGTTTACCCAGGAGTCTTGTCAACAAATGAAGAAATCTGTGCTGCCAACTCCCTGGCCCCTGCCCTTCAGCCAAACTCTGAACCCAATTCCATCTTCCCCGCTGCGCCTCCACTTCTCCCCACCCGTGATCCCACTCCCTTTAGAATAAAGGTCTAACAGCATCCTGAATACTCCCCTCTTTCTTCAGAGACTATTAACTTTGCCCATCTTTAGGGATCTAGTTAGCTAACAAAATAACGTCCCAAAATGGGGCCCAAGTGTTTCACAAGGCGACATGCCTAAGGGGAAATGAGGCATGAAGTGCAAACCTCTTATTCATTAATTGATCTCAGTTCTATCTGAATAAAGGCAAAATCTATGTGAGAGAATTACCAAGGGCTGCAAGCAACAGTTTCATACTAAGAAGGGCTGAAATCATGAGCATTCCCCTCACAGCACCTGCTGTAAATCCCCAAGATTTACAGTCAGTCAGAGTTGTGCGCAGCTGTAATCATGCCTCGTGCTGGGATGATAACCTTTCCAGAAACCAGGTGTTTTTTGTGTCTGGTCTTAATCACCAAACCCAGCCAAGCCCTGGGCCACATGACTTTTCATTCAGCAGGTGGCAGCCCCACGTCCAATCTCAAAAACTATACTGGATTAAACTTTAGATAGGGAAGTGAGTGGGACATTCTGATAATAAGGGTTCCAAGGGCAGAAGGTGACAATCCATGCAGATACAGGTGAGTGAAAACACAGGGCTGACTCATCCCTTCCCCCAGAAGTCTCCTGTGGAGCACCCAGATGATGCTTCTCTACCTTTCCTGATAGGAAATAGTTGATTGTATGTATACGTATATGGACCAGAGTCTCTGCTGAGTTTACAACGTTTAGAAAAAATGGTTGGTCAAATCTTGATTTTTGCTAATTTATCTCAATAAAAGCTCACCTGAACTCCAAAAAAAAAAAAAAAGGAGCCTGATAGGGACATAGTTTTGTTCTTGGTCTCTGAAAAGTAGTGCCTAGCATGGCAGGCACAGGGCTGAGAAATGATGAAACCGAGGAGCAGAGGAAGAGAAGAGATGCCCTCTGCTCATTTCCCCCTTAGTTTTCTCTCCAGGGAAGGAAAGAAAGGAGAGGAGAGAAGTATTTCTGTTTTTTTCCCTTCATGGGTAACCTTGATGCTGCCACTTTTTCTTTTTAAGGCCCTTAGGATCATTAACAACTTGTTTTGGAAATTCTTTCAGTGTCTGCATTCCTCCACTTTGGCCACATCTTGACATGAATAATATTGTTGCTCTGGCAGGACAGAGGGAACTTCTGGGTGATATGTTTATTGTAAGTGACACAAGGCAAGGATAATTTAGGACAGGTCAGAGGGGAAGTTTTTGTTTTGCAAAGCACTATCAGGAAGGGGGAGGGTGTGTGGGGTTCCATCTGGGGGTCTCAGATCTGGGTGACAGGACAGGGCTCCTGCCCCAGAGAGAGGGTTTGCCCTCATTCTCTTAAGTTTGTGGGCAACAAATAAGGGCATCCCTCAACATCCACCCCTCACAGCATCCTTTTCTCTATTTCTAGGACAGGAAAGATATCCCTTATATAACAACGTCTGAAGCTGCCCTGTAGTTTACATCTCACAAGGCGCTCTTGATTTCCTGGAAACTGCGTGTAAGGAGATGAGGAGACCATTTTGCAGACTATTCTTCAACACTACTCTTATCCTTCTTACCAATTACGTATCTCCTATGTATACGTAATAAGCTGAGACTTTTCAATAGCATTGACCATGGTTTCTTAAAAGGAAAAGCAATGCTCAGGAATGGTCCACATCTCTTTTTGTGGTCTTTAGACTCTCAGAAATTAACAGTCTGGTTTTCTTGGTAAAATGAAGCTGAAACTTTAAAGTGCCTATTGTTTAATAAGTCATAGGCTGAAAAACAGGTTGCATAAAATACAATTTTTTTAATGAATCAGGACCCAGAAACATTGTGCTTAAACCAAATCATTTAAGATGATGACTTAGCATAAAATGACCCCTCAGTCCAGATACCTCTGCAGCCCTAATCCATTGAGCCCTGTGGTTCGGTCTCTGCACAGACCTGGATCTAAAGAATCAGTACTTAGAAGTCAAGAGCAATCTTGAAAGAAATACATTCTTTGTTCATATTCTTCAAGGACATTCAAGGGGACTCCAATTCAAAATCTATAGCATAATTTCAAAAAAGCTCACTCTTTCTCTCCACTACCACCATCACTACCACCACCCAAGCTGACCTGGAGCTGATGTGCCAAAGCCCAAAACTTCTTTTTCAGCAGCAGCTCCTCTCTTTCTATCCTTGCATTACTTTACTTAACCTCCAACCCTTTGTTATGTAGATCAATTTAGTCTTCCCACTCCCACCCCCAGCAAGCAAGAATCCTTTAAGAGGAGGTTGGAAAAAACTGAACAGGCTAATAAATGCAGAATTTTCTTTCAGAGATATAGTAAATTAACATTAAGGCATTAATAACATATGTTGATAGTGCATGATAATGCAATACTGTGCATTATTTGACTAATACTCTACGTTAGTACTGTACATTACTCCATTAGTGCTGTACGTTCCTATATTTATACTACTTGCCCTCACCTTGATGTGGTCAGGCCTTCCATTGGAATGGACCCTTTCTGGTACTCCAACCTGGGCTTGAAGGACTCTCTGGGCAGGTAAGAGTGGTAGAGAGGGTAGTTCTCGGTGTATTCGGAGAGAAGACATGGTTTCTCTGTTTTATCGTAAATCTTGGTAGGGAGATGTGGACAGTGATGCCGCCTATAAAAGACACATGAAGTTAGGTCGCTTACCTTCTTAAGAAGAGTACATCCGGTTTGATAACGCTACCTCCTCAAAATGTGACCCAGACATAAAATCATATGAGTGCTGGCATTGAAAGTGGAAATTTAACCCTTCCTTTTCTCTACTAACCTATGTGAAATAGCCAGAATTTTTTAAAAGGTCTATAACTGCAATTGGTTAGTCATCAAAATTCCTCGTTCATAAAATTACACACAAGTGTGGCTGATGTTCAGCCACTACACATATCATACTGCTTCTTTAAATACCGAAATACTTCCACTCCATAGGAGGTAAATGGTTGTGGCCCTGAGCCCTGTGAGTGCCAACCCAGCTGCCCCTATAACCTCCCGAGACCTCCCTGTGCCGCCCAATCACTCAGCAATTAAGGGCTTGATACCTGACCTACCAGGGTGCTCCAAGGCTGTGCGCAAGTATCTCTCTTCACTGGTTCCTGGTCAATTTGGAACCTCAGTGCACACAGAGTAGCACACACATAGCAGAACCACCTCAGTTCTGAGTGTACTAAACTCCACCAACTTCATGAAACCACTTTCATATTGAAAATCTGGCTCATTTATTCTTTCAGGTCTCACCTCAACTGTCGCCTCCTTAGAAAGACCTCCACTGATTATCTTATACCTAAACTACACCCCACGACCCGCTTCCCTCCCACACAGTTTCTCTCACCATTGGGCATGCCTTCCTCATCACTCATTGTGATCTGTAATTGGCATGTTTGTTGATCGTCTGTCTCATCTATCAAGCTCAGGACCTTTTCTGTCTTGCTCAGTGCTTCAGCCCTGGCACCTCACAGCCTCCCTGATGCACAGTAGCTTTTAATAAACATTTATTGAATAAATGACTGAATACATAAATGAATGGATAAACTTTATGCCTCAATATGCAGGTATAGGATAGATAATAATTTGACATTATGATTTATAGTGAACTTTTCCATTTTACACGCACGATAACAAATGAACCTTATTATTCTACTTACAGCTGGACAAAGGGCAGCTGCTTGAGCTCTCAAAAACTAGGCAGTGTATCAACTATTTGTGTGTCCACCTACAATCCTTACCAACCAGTTAGGGCATCACTAGTCTTCAGACACCAGTTCATCAACAAAACTCCTTGTTAGTGATTTCCAGTTTAGTTGTACCGAGGATTGGCAAAGTGATAACATAATTTTTTTTTTTTTTTTTGAGGAAGATTAGCCCTGAGCTAACACCTGCTGCCAATCCTCCTCTTTTTGCTCAGGAAGACTGGCCCTGAGCTAACATCCGTGCCTATCTTCCTCTACTTTATATGTGGGATGCCTACACAGCATAGCTTGTCAAGCGGTGCCGTGTCCACACCCGGGATCCGAACCAGCAAACCCCAGGCCTCCAAGAAGCGGAACGTGTGCACTTAACTGCTGCGCCACTGGGCTAGCCCCGATAACAGAATTATTTTTAAATTTTTTATGCTGAATTGATTTTAATTACAGAAATTAAAATATACAGTTCTCTGGGGCAGCACGTGGGGGAGGGAGAGAGAAACAGAGAGAGAGAGAGAAACAGAGAATTTATCCCTGCTCCAATCTAAAGCTATTTTCCAGGCAACAACTAGCAGGCTACTCCTGTTGTTAATAAGTTCAACCCTCTATGCAAACGTGGCTGCCAACATTTACTGTTACTGTGTACGTCTCCGCTAACCCCAACCCCTGGAGAAGATGATCAACCTCGCACTGTTCATATGGGTAGAATTGCATATAAAGTTGCTTTAGAAACATCTCTATTTTCTTCTTTGTAGATTTGTGCATTGGACAAACCTTATGATGATATAAACTTGTCACATTTACTTTTTATTCTTGTTATTATAAAAGTACTCTTGGTTCATGGGGAACACTTTAGATCTAATTAGTTACAAGGAAATCTCCCATGAATATACTGCTATAGCATGAATATCTGAATTTCATGGTGTTAAATACACTCAATAAAAGTTTAGTGTTCCTTTTTCAAAATGTACGTTGTTGGCACTTAATATACAAAGATGTTTATATTTTATACAAAGTATCTCCTAATCATAGGTACATAAATTGATGAGTGCTTTCATCTTCTGCTCCCTCGAGATAAATTGTTGTGTTTCATAGTAAACAAAATAACCATTTCCCACAGTATAGGAATTATCATTTCTGTGCTCACCATCAGTCCAATTCTGAGATTTCAATCTGAGCCGATCAGTACCGTATCATGTTAAGATTCCAACAAATCTCAAATCAAAAGCAACGAAGTACCAGAAATACCTCAGCAAATATTTATTCACTCACACTCTCTGAGAGAAAAGTCAAGACTTTTTTTAAGAATAACTCAGATTCAGGCGCTTGCAATAAAACAGACTCCACAGATGTAGCAATATTTCCCTTCTCTAGAGCCCCTGTTTTTTAACCAGTAAAATATTGCTTTTATATAACTCCCTGTCCATATTGTTACTTTTTAAAAATGTAACACACTGGAAAGACTTATTCCAAAAGAAAAATAAATATAAAGGAAAATACTACACTGTGATTGGTATCACAAGAGGGGATTTCAGTACAGCAACGAGCTTCCATCCAGACACCGACATTCCATTAAATGAAATTATATTGACAAATATACTTAGAGGGTAGATTTGATTTGACTTGTTGCTCGTTAACTAAACCCTTGTCTCACTTTGAAATTTCAAAAACTCTTATTTGAAAGCAAATGTTTCATTGCCTGACTGCTCATGGGGTCGCCTCTCCTTACCTGTGCTCAAATGCCCCGAACATTCCTCTCAAGACGCCAAGCACCATGCCTTCTTGTTGGTCTGCCCATCCCCTCCTTAAAGAGGATAAAGACCAAGACTGACAGCTCTGTGTCCTGGAAGCTGGCCCAATACTGATATGCTTATTTAATAGATGGATGGGCAGTCCGCAGTTTATAGGAGAATGAACTGCTAAAAGAAAGACATTGACAAGTCCTCAGGAAAAGGAAAATGACTGATTTGTTCAAACATCAGTAGATCCAAAAAGGAGGAGAGAGATTCTGTTTGTATGGGCCTAATTAGTGCCTAAAGAAAGTGTGTGGAATCACCACGCTTGGGGTATTTAAATGTAGGCTTGACAGTCATGAACCAAAGAAATGAGACCTCTTCAAGTTCTCTGATACTCATATCAGTTTAGGAGCTGCCTTGGCCACCTCACTCAGGAGCACAAACAAGCTGAGATGGGGCCAATAGGAAGAGAAGGCAAAGGGGAGGGAGGAGGTTTCTTCAGTCCATCAGAACCCTCTAAAATCTGTCCACGCAGGATTCGCTAAAGGACCAGAGGAAGAAAGAAAATAATGCTAACTTTTTATAATGTTTGGTAAATCGAGTAACATAGACCTTCCAATGGAACCCAGAAAAATTCAACAGTTGACTCCAAACTAAAATCATAGAATTTTAAAATTGAAAGGGGCCATGGAGAATACACGACCCAATGTCCTCACCATGTTGATGAAAAATCTGAAGCTCAGGGAATGATGTACATGACCTAACCATAGACAGAACCTGGGTCTCTATCACACCAGCATGACCATGTACATTTCCTGACACACACCTCACTCAGAGCCATCTGTGACTCAAGGAACCCTAGAACAGATGACAGAACTTTAATTAAGTACTCTGGAGTTAAGTACCTCTAAAAGAGCACCACCCGATAAAAATAGAATGCAAGCCGTGAATGAGAGCCACATATGTCATTTTAAATTTTCTAGCAGCCATGTTAAAACGGTAAAAAGAAACAGGTACAATTTTAATATTTTACTTAACCCAATATGTTCAAAACATTATAATTTCACCATGTAATCAATATTAAAAATTAGAGATATTTTACTTTCCTACTACATCTTTAAAATCCAGGATGCGTTTTACATTGACAGCCCATCTCAATTAGGACTACCACATTTCAAGGGCTCAAAAGCCACATGTGACAGTGGCTTCCCTGTTGGAAAGTGCCGGTCTAGAATCTGAAAGTACAGACAAAAGAACTGCAAGCACTCGAGTGCTAGAAGTTTTCTCTACAAGTGGAGGAAAGACAAAGATGCCTAGAAAAATCTTTGTTGGCTAATATGGAATTTGTCTCTTTCTTGGACTCTCTGACTTGCTTTCATGTGACACAATCAGCGACATTTAAAAGACATGAACAATCAATTGAAGGAGGTTTTCATCATTCTCCTCTCTACACAGAGCCGGGTTTCAGTTTTATGCATCTTGGAGTTGCTCTCTTTCCTGCCACTTCCACTTTTCCAAAATGCTTCCCTTTCTTCAAGGCTCATGTTGAATCCACCACTACTACCACCACCACCACTCCAGGAAGCTACTGGTGGTCCCACTGCATCCTGTTATGGCTGTGACTCTCCTGATTGCCCATGGTGTCATGTCCCTACCTCTCTGAGGATGCTTTCTCTTCTGTGCATGCCTTGCACAGTCCTCTAACTTATAAACTTTCAGGTTAAGAATGTCCACAGTGGCAAACAAAGCTATTCATCAGAACAAAAAAGTTGTAACTCTTCCTGCCACCAAAAGGCAGCATGAAAGTAGCTAGTACAGCATAACTTTGGGCTTTTCAAACAAATGAACTTCCAGTAGTCTTTTAGAACCTCACCTGTTTGTAAGGAGAACAGCATCTGTGGATTTCAGCAGCTTGTCCTGCCTCTCCTGTGGTCTTTCGGAATCCCCTGCTGAGCCTCGCCTGGCATGGGCCGGGTGTGAGGGGGCTCTCCTTCACTCCAGGAGGCAGAGCGCGTGGCAGAAAGGGACTTTGGAGGTAGGAAGATCTGGTTTCAAACCCTCACTCTGCCACTGACTGCTTGTGTAATGTTGAGAAAATGAGTTCCTTAATTTTCTGAGCCTCGATTTCCTCCTCTGTGATATGCAGATAACAACTTCTACTGCTTAGTATGATTATATGGATTAAATCAGATACTGGAGGT